TCTTTAATGAGACTTTGAACTAGAAAGCTATAAACAGATAAAGGGCATTGTATACATTTGAAAGATTAATTAATATTCTGGCAAAAGTGTTTTTGGCATGATTTGGAATTAATCAAATAAACAGACCAGACCTTCCTGGGAATGTCAATTGACATCAAAGGGAAAAGATAAATGATAGAATTTGCAAGAGAAATAGATAAATATAATAGGAGATGGATTGCATAATTAAAATTATGTAAAGAAATATTGGAACAAAGTCTTAAGCAAAAGCAAAAGAGGGAAAAGAAAGGAGAAATATGTCATTTATTTTCATCTTTGTAATTGATTTACTTCTGAATTATAAATATAAGAATAGTGACCATCAGAAAAGCTGCAAAGCATCATGAGAGAAGGAGAGAGTCATTAAAACAACCTACATAAAGGGAAACTAATCCAGAAATATCACAAAACATGTTTGAACAGATGGAAAAGCAGGTATTTGAATCTCTCAAATCTGTTAAAAGCAATTGCTTTTGATGCAAGACGATAAGAAAGATTTGTAAAGATGAAAAAGGAGAGGAAAGAAGTTACAAAAAAAAAGAAGAATCTATGGGGCAATTTATAGGATAACTCAAACAAATTAATTATGAGGTAGAAGTTTTAGCAAGTAAACAAAAATAATAAATAGAAAAATGAAATTGGACTTAGACAATCTAGCAGTATTGGAATTGGGTTTAATGATAATAATTAATAATAACAGTGCAGATGCATTGCAATGTCTTGGGTTAAGTCTCACCATTTCCAGATAAGGTGAAAATCTCTTGCATAACACATGACTAACATAACATATATGGTTACTGTTTTGTTCTTTGCATGCCACTCATCCCTTATAGGCCCAGACATCTAATGAATGAATGAATTATTAAATCAATCAGAAGTCTCTGCAAGCTGGTTAATACATTCTCACTTCTATTCCTCTGGTCCTATTCAGGGGTTCAAACACTGCCCTGAAAACAGAAAATAACAATTAAAATGATCGTGTCACACAACTAAATGTTACAAGGCACTTGAATGAGTTTTTCAAAGGACATTATACAAAATCTATATGAAACTAAATACTACATGGAACAAAACCGCATATAGTTTGGCCTCACTTCTATTTAATTATTCAGATTGAACTGGATATATTATGAGTCATGTGTCATGGAAGGGATTTTCGCTTTATCTGGAAATGGTGAGGGCTGAACCTAATACCTTTTGTTTGCAACACATCTGCACTGTTATTAATTATCGTTCCTGACCCCTTGTTTATCAGGCCTATGATTTTCTTTTCTTCAATACAAGCTATGCTGTTTGTTAGATAGCAAAATAGACCTTAAAATGAATAAGAAATAGAATAATGCTACTCTCATCAAAGCATTAATGCATCTTTAAAACAGCCTATTATGTATTATTTTAAACTATCTTCTAGACAGCTTAAACACCTAAACCCTAGCATTTCACTAAACAAAAATATAGAAGAAAAAGCTGCTGCAGCAAAAAGAAACCCATCCTACAAGAGCAAGACCCCAGAGCAGTTGGGTTTTAAAAGGCAAGTGAGAAGATGCTTAACTTCCTTCAAATTTTTATTAGCTGAGAGCTGAACCAAGAGTCCCTTGGAGGGGTGTTACAGAGGCTACAGAATTCTAACCAAAAAACTCTTTACTTTTAAAAGTTGTTCTTTTGAAAGCCGCTTCTGTCTAGAGCACTGTCCAATCCAAATTAAAATGGGAAGCTATAGAGTCACAAGAAGATTTATAGATTTATAGATTTTATTAATATTTGTAGGCCGCCCTTTTCCCTGAGGGGACTCAGGGCGGCTCACATAAAATCGGGGAAGGGG